ATTTGTGAAAACCTTTCTCTTGCAAAAATGAGTGATCATTCTCATGAAAGTAGTGTGCATGGTCATCATGCTCCTAGAAGTCATAGGAGTACTAAAGATGAACTTAGGGAACTTAGGGATTATATTAGGAAAAAATAAATAGAAAATGAAAAAAATAATGAAGCCATTAGAGAGTTGTTAAGCAAACTTGTGGTGGGGGGTGAATCTAGCAAACCCCATGCCAATGAGGGTCATGGGCCTTCTAGGCCCAAAAGGCATAATGGTGAAGGGCCTTCTAAGCCTCATAGAGGCCAACATGAAAAAGAACAATCACGGCCCAAGAGTCACCATTCACACACTCACTCATCTTCAACTGAAGGGTTTTATAGTAGTCACCATGAAGATGACTACTATCAAAGACCCCCTAGGCAACATAGGCCTAGACATGAAACAACTTCTCTTAGAGAACCTAGAGTTGACCTTCCTCCCTTTCATGGAAAGGATAATGTTGATGATTACTTGGATTGGGAGATGAAGGTTAAACAACTCTTCACTTGCCACAATGTGAGTGAAGAGAAAAAAGTTCCTATGGCCACCCTTAGTTTTCAAGGGAGTGCCATGCATTGGTGGACTTCCCTAATGAGAGAAAAACAAATTATGAGAGAGCCCTCCATTAAATATTGGAATGAACTTAGGAGTGCCTTAAGGAGAAGGCACATTCCTCCCTATTATGAGAGAAAGTTAATGGACAAGCTTCAAAGACTCCAACAAAGAAATCAAAGTGTGGAGGAATATAGGCAACAAATGGAGTTGCAAGGCACATTCCTCCTTATTTTGAGAGGGAGTTAATGGACAAGCTCCAAAGACTCCAACAAAGGAACCTTAGTGTGGAGGAATATAGGCAACAAATGGAGTTGCTTATGCTAAGGGCTGGAATTAGGGAAGAAGAGAGAACCACCATTGCTAGGTTCCAAAGTGGTCTTAACCTAGAAATTAGGGACAAGGTTGAACTACTACCCTATAAAGACCTTAATGAACTAGTTCAACTTTGTGTGAGGGTAGAACAACAACTTAGAAGAAAGCCTAGCTTTAGGAAAGAAACTACCCCCTACCCTAAGAAGGACTTCAAGAAGGAGGGTTACTCCTCTTATTCAAAGGATAGACCACTAGAAAAAGAAAAAGAAAAACAAAAACCTTCCGATGAGCCTAGAACTAGTTCCATTAAGTGCTTTAAGTGCTTAGGGAGGGGAGACATAGCTTCCCAATGCCCCACAAAAAAGACCATGATCATTAGGGGCAATGAGATCCTAAGTGAGGAAAGAACTTCATCTTCTTCATCATCCTCAAGTGAAGAAGATGCTAGCCCTAGTTCTAGTGAGGAAGCACCATGTGAAGGTGACCTATTCATTGCTCAAAGGTTACTTACCAACCAACCCAATGATCAAGAACAATCACAAAGAGAGAACCTTTCCATTCTAGATGCAAAACTTATAAGAAAACTTGTTCTCTCATTGTTGATAGTGGTTCTTGTAATAACTTCGTAAGCCAAAGGTTGGTTGATAAGCTTAACCTAACTACTATAGCCGATCCTAAATCTTATAAACTTCAATGGCTTAATGAGGATGGACCTATAGAAGTTAAAGACCAAGTAAATGTTCCTTTTTCCATTAGAAAATATAAAGATGAAATTTTATGTGATATAATCCCAATGGATGCAAGCCACATTTTACTTGGAAGGCCTTGGCAACATGATAGGAAGGCCATCATGATGGTCTTACAAACAAAATTAGCCTAGTCCACCTAGGCAAGAAACACACCTTGACTCCTCTTTCACCTTCACAAGTGTTGGAGGATCAAGTATTTATGAAATCAAAAAAAATAAAAAAAAAAAGAGGAGAAAAAAAAGGTTCTAGAGTTAGAGGGTAGTGTTTCCTCCAAGGAAGTTGTTCCTAGAAGTCAATTTTTAATAGAACATTCTATTAAAAAATGTCTTCTAGTTGAACAATCTCTTTACCTTCTCAAAACTAGAAAGACACTACTCTTAGAAAAGAGTAAGGAGAATAAGGAGGATAGTGTCTCCTCCAAAAATCTTGTGATAAAGGAAAGTCACTTTTCTGTTAAAAATGATTGTAAAAAGACTTTTCTTCTTCACAAAAATTTTAACTCTTTTTCTACTACTGCCATAGACTTAGAGCTTAAGTTCCACAACCAAAATATTTTTGAAAAGAAAGGATCTCATGTTCTTAGTCTAGTGAAGAAGAAGTGGAATTCACCTAGTTCTACTTCTTATGCTACTACTTTGGTGGTGCCCAAAGTAGACAGCCATTGTTTATTTAGGACTTCTCTTACTTTAATTAGTTGTTCTAATAAAGCACCCAACCTTTGGTTTATATTGTTTATTAGATACATCTCATGGTGTCTTATTTTCTATTTTTGATCTTAAGGGAAGTTCAAACTTCTTTGAACTTAACTTTACTACTTCCCTTCAAGACCAAATTAGATTCTATGACTTTTCTAAACTCTTTACACCCTCTTCCATGATGTATCTAACATATAATATGATCAAGGGTTGTCTAGGTAGTTTCCTTATTATATTCACTTTGTTTACTTGTAGAAGCCTAGGTTACTACATAGGGTACTTTAGGCAAGATATCTTGGTATATAGGACTACTTCATTAGTTTGTTATAGTTTTAGCACTTTAACATTTTTAGGATTTAGTTTTACACTCAGACTACACTATAGTGAGGATCCTATTCTTATAGAACCCATCCTTCCTAGTCTAAGGACCCTTGCTAGGACTATAGAAGGAATTCCTCATAGGGTGCACTTTCCACATATGTTATATGAATATGTCATCCCTAATGCTTTATTTCTTATTTTCATTGTAGGTGATGCTATCTTTGTGGAAGGACCACTGGATTTGAGGACAAATCCTTTCGAAGGGGGAGGGTATGATGGAAATCTAATCCCCAAGGATCCCTTTGGAAGAGGTAAGACCAAGAAAGGTGAAGGTTGATCTAAGGAGTCTCTATTGTAAATACATTGTATAGTTTGATTTCTTGTACCTTGTATATAGTAGATACTTGTATAGGTGTATTTTGCCTTTGTATTTGTGAGACACTTTCTTTCTTTTATTTTAGGTTATCTTTTAGGAATTTAGGGTATGTTACTTGGAGACTTTTGCTCTATTTGACCATTAAGGGTCATTAATTTTTGTATTTTTCAGTAGTAGAAGTAGGGTGACAAATAGCAAAGAGTGTAGGTGCAACTAGTAATTGGGCCATAATTGGGCCTAGGCCAAATTTTACATATTGGGCTTGTTTTGCTCCATATTATGCAAGGAATTGATTTAGTTAGGTCTCACCATCATATGGTGAACCTAACTAAACCAACTCCAAGTTTTTGGATTGGATTAAATATGGAAAAACAAGTGGGCCGCCTAGCTTGCCTTCCTTTGGCCGAAATTGCTTAGTTGCTTGTACACTTGGAAAGCTTGTGCTACAAGCCTCTAACTTAGCTTACTTCCCAAGCTTCTAAGTTAGAAGCTTGCTCCACAAGCCTCCTAAACAATCTAGGATGGTCAAGCTAAGCTAACCATGGTTCTCTTGAACCATAGTTAGCCTAACTTGCACCATAAGTTTCTCCCACCATATATAAACCTTTTTCTTACCTTTGTAATCACTTTTGATGATATTTTTGAGTGAGATCAGAATTTGAACGAAAATTCTCTCTTCCAAAAGTCTTTAACCTTTTTGATATTCATCCAATTCTCTTATCCCTTCCATAGAAGAGTGTGATGAGAATTGAAGAGACTTATCTCTTCCCCAAGGAGTGGCGTCTTTTGAGAGGGTTCTACACCAAACCGTGGTGCTTCCAAGGTCTTTTCCTCCATTGGAGACCTTGGAGAAGCTTAAGAAGAATCAAGGAGCCAAAGGTCTAGGGAGGAACTTGAAGAGGAATCAACATCAATCAGGTTTTTCAACAAGGTTTCCATCAGATCTTTAAAAGGATGTCTAAATCATTAGTCACGAGATCAAAATTTTTTGGATTGCGACAGAGTTAACTTGATGGATACCATCTCCATAGTTAAACATGCTTGACTTGGAGTAATATAGGGATAGGTGACCTTCTAGGAAGTTTTTTCAGAAATTGTGCAGTAAAGACAAAATACGTTGAAAAGTGAAGTGTCGTGAAATAACATCCTTGAAAAGCCAAATATGAGAGTTGTTGCATTAATAAATTTATTAAAATAAACAAAAATTTTCCTACGAAAATATCTGTGGATAAGTTATCTACAGAAATAATTTGTAGATAATTCCGTAGTAAGTCTTTTAAATCTTATCTGTAGATAATAACTTTCGTGGGTAATCTGTAGATATATCCGTATATAAGGTTATCTACGGATAAAATTTTCGTAGATAACATTATCTACAACCTTATTACCTACAGATTTTTAGCTGTAAATAATTCGTAGATAATTAAAACTTATCTATGAATTTCTTCCATAAATAATCCCAATTTTTCTTGTAGTGTACTTTTTTTATCATAACCATGTTAAGTTGCCTTCCTTTAGATTTTGTTAATTTTAGCTTGAATTTTAACCTAGTCTTCTCTCACTTTATTTATTTATTTATTTTTTTATCATTTTAGTAATGTGGCAGCGCTTGCTAGATGATTCTTAGGCTTAGAGGTATCAACTTAGTTGAAGTGCCTTTACCCTATAATTAAGCCTAGTGCACCTCAAACTTCATAAAAAAAATTTATTTTTTAATATTTATTATAAATCTCATCATTTATTTAATACCCTTCAAAAAAGAATTAATAAAATTAAAATTGAGTTTGGTTGGATAGAATTTAAATTTTAAATCAAATTGAAGTGATTGGATCAAATGAGTTTTCTCTTTAAAATTGATCCAATATAATCTACAAACACCATACACATATATATATATATATTATATATATATATATATATATATATATATATATTCCGTGCTCTAGCATTAAAAAAAATAGAAAATGTATGATATTTTTAAGCCATATACAAAAGTATATTATTGATATATTGTCGATGCGCATAACTGGGATGCTTGTTCCTAAAAGAAAACGTCCTTATTCAATGTACATGCTACTTCTCTGCTAATCCTCTACAGATTTTAGATTTTGTTTGAAGTTGTCTATTGGCAGATCACATGATGGTATTGGACTATAACCAAATCAATACAGTATTACAGTTGAATGTCTTAGACTCAGTGATTGTTGTAGCATGAATCAGATATGATGCTGACAAAACATCCTGAGTAAAAAGTGCTAGCCATCAAAAAATGTCCATATCAATCGAGCTAACTAGCACCCCATCATCTTCCCACTTCAAATCCTTTGCCACTGGTTCTTTTCCTATCAACCGAAGAGGAACATCTAATGGGGGTGGAGTCTGCATGACAAAGATAATTTAGTGGTTACTGCAAGTCTGCAACAATAAGCAGCTAAAAACTTACCATATATTGAAAATATGTTTTGAGAGGCTGTTATTATTTTCATTTTCTGGTCCAAAAAGTATAGGAGGAGCAGTAGCTATCCCATTCAAAGGTCAAACATGTCACATCATTCAATTTCACCGGTTTAACTTCAACCAACTCTAAATTGTCATCTAGGTCTTTAAAGAAGTAACAGGTCAAACTAGTCCTTGAAAAATGTGTCATATTGAGTGTTAAACATTATCCTTGAATGTACATTTTGTCTCAAAGTAGCTCCAGATATAGGACTGATTTGATTGATGGGTTACAAATTCAAGAATTTGACCATATAAATGCACATTTAGGGACCATGGGCATAATTTCCAACACTAAATAATTAATAAATGGCTGATATCTTTGAAGGACTAATTAACTAATTTTACTAAATACTGTAGTGAATATTTTTCTAATCACTAACTTCAAAAGAAATGACAAGGATACTACCATGTTGCGAATTAGAGGCCAATTGATTCCGCGGAAAAATGGATGTTGTTTGATTTCATTGGCACCAGTGGTTGAACCTAGACGACTGCCAGGGTCTCTTTGTAATAGTGCATTAATCAATTGCCTGGCTGCAAGACTAGCCTGAAAATTTTCAAAACTGTATCAATTAACGCAAGATCAAAACTGTAGCTGAGTTAACTGTAAGAATTTAAAAATTCTGTTCATATGTTGGCCAATCTATAGCATTAGCTGGATGCATGATAAGAACAGAGCATATGATCTTTCAACGTAATATATTTCACTGCTAATTTTTTTTTGCAAGCAAATACCCATTTATTTGAATGCTTATGCTTTTCTACATGTATTTTACTACACATTATTTGAAGTTGGGAATTGCATGTAATTTATGCAAAAACATTTGAGATAGCAACCACTATGTTATGAAAATGAAGGATTTGTCTCCTCCAGAGTTAGGAGATTTGACTTTATAAAATAAAATGCAATAATAACTATAGATTAAACAGTCCTCGATAAATATTATAATTAAATTTTATTATACATGTATTTTATTTTATCAAAATTCTCCATTGTTGAGTTTTTAATTAATAATTATTATTACACTTTATCCTCTAAAATGTAATTTTTCCTTTGGAAGAGTCAAATCCAAAAATTAATTAGATGGAACGTCCAATGATTTTCAAGTTTAACTACTAATATCAAGCACTATTTCGATTACCGGGATGCTGCTTGGAAAGGTAAGATCCTTGTGTAAGATGTTGGAAAATGTCTTCTGTCTATTCTTTCCTCTAAATGGTGTACGGCCATAGAGCATCTCATACAATAAGATACCTATATTTAGAACACGAAGAATCAGAGAATGTCAAATAAGGCTATATATATTTTGTTATTAATCTCGCATGACCTGAAAATCAAAGATTAACTCAATAAAAGAGGAGGCTGAGATAAGGAATGTTTTGATAATAAAAGATGAAGATGAAGAAAGTACTAGATAAGAGGAAAATAAATCTAACAAGACTAGGGAATTGACCCGGTAAATTTCGAAAAGAAAAGGCATTAACTTATGCTCTTGAATCCTTCCGTCTTTATTTCAAAGTAACATTCACTAACTGTTAACTCCATGCTTGGAAATGACTTTATGTCTCTAATGTACCACAAATATGAAGCCCTATATGATTGCAGACTGAACAAGTATGAGCCCACTAAAAGCTTATACTTATTATAATTTAATTAGAAGAGTGAGCATCTTATTACAATTTGGTCAAAGAGGTTGTGACACTAAGTTAAGAACCATTTGAACCTGAAAGTGGGCTTAATATTTGATCTTTAACAACCCCACCCCCACTCCTTCATGCCAAAATCCTCAATTGACAATATACAATATACAGAAGCTAATTTAGACTATTTAGTTACATACAATATACAATAATAAAAAATGTAAGCTCCATAAATCATTCAAACATAAGGATGAAAGCACTTACCAAGGGTCCACCAATCTATAGCGCTAGTATGCCCAGCTCCAGTTATAATTTCCTGATATCAAGAACCTTAAGAACCTCAAAAGATGATATTGATAACAACAGTTAACAACACAAATAATAATAATTTTGTTATTGTCTGTTTACAATAAGAACAGAATTCATTAAATGCCCAAAAGTTTGATGAAATCCCACACATTTCGAATGTTACAAAGATCTCTATTTTCTCTTCATTACAACATCTCTAACACATCCTGTCACTTATAAGCCCTTTTAAGGCATGAAGCCTGGACTACATACAAGTCCACCTACTTTGTGTGAGAAGGATGAAAAGAGAGAATAACAACATTGAATAACAGGACACTAAGCTTTATTTATACCAACAGAAGACTTCTAAACTGATAAAAAAAAAATAATAAGGAATGAGTTAAAATATGGAAACTGTTACTAGAGGATCATCTACGATCTCATTTCACATCCATAATTTTAAGATGGAAACCCTATTTTTTTATTCAAACTGAGTGATATTGTCAATGTAACTTTAGTTATGAGGGAGATCTAAACATTAAACATTAAGGGACATCGTTTTTGTTTACAGATAGTATGAAGCAGAATTAAAATTCACCATACAGGAGCAATGTATTCTTCAGTTCCAACAAACGAGTTTGATTGTGTAACTGGCTCTGCAACAAATGTTGGTGGTGGTTGACTTCGTGATCTTCTTTTACCAGGTAGTGATTGCTTCACAACCTGCAGGAATAACTTTCAATTTAAGCATTGGAGAATATTCAAGCTAACCCTAAAACACCAGCTTCTTTAATAACATAGATAAGGGAAGACTAAATTCCTTAGCTATGGGCACCATACATGGCAAGACATATTTTTCAAGTAGTAATAGTTAAGAAAAGTGGCGTTACTAAAATTACATTGCTAAAATTGAGCTTAAAAACACATTTGTGTTCCAACATTTCATTCAAACAACTGTAATGCTATGAGCAAAAGAAGAGCATTTAGACAAACCCTTACCACAAAACCTAGCTCAAGTGGTAAGGAGAAGAGAAGTTGGGTTTGATGATACCTTGCAACTCTAAAAGAAGATACATAAAACGAAATTCTTTTGTTTACAAAATATCAGTAAAAGTGTATTTACATTTTTTTCCAAAAACTGGAAAGAGATTTAAAGCCTTGGGTAATACTTTTTCTACCAAAACTAGATTACTGTAGATGTCCGACACCAATGAATTTAAAATGGTTCAAGAATTTCCAATAATATATATATTTATATATACACACACTCATATACAGAGACCATGTTTACACAGGAATGAGGATACGTACCTGGGGTTTACAATTTGTCATAAATGATAGATCAAAATCAGTTAATACAACATGACCATCCTTCTGAAGTAAGATATTTTCAGGCTTTAAGTCACGATAAATTATACCTAGACAGATTCAACAAAAGAAAACTATATTCAGACTACCTAAGAATAGATATCTATGATTTTTTTTTCCCTCTTATTATTGTGCATAACATAAAAACAAATCCACTAGGACTAGTTGCTGCCTAACCAATCACATGTAATATGTTAGGGCAGCATATCAAAAATGTAAAAAAAAAAATAGGAATGGTATGATTAAACACAAAGATAACCAAAAGAAAAAAACCATGAAGAGTGCTGATATACTTTGAAAAATTGTAAGAAAAGAAAATTAATATAAAATAAAAATAACTACCCAGAAACAGGTGAGATCAGAAAAATATTTGGATAAAAGTTTTCAAAATTATGCTGTAGCCATGCTTTGGCAATAACACCACAATTTTAAAACACCCTCATTTATTCTCCTAACCAGTATAATGTATGGAGAAAAAAGTCTTCCAAATTAAGTGAAGAGATCCAATGTGGAGGAAGAATAAACTTCCAGCATCAATTACTAGCTTTCAACCTCTTTTAAGAATGGAAACATCACTGGGAAAGATAAAACAAACTTCAATTTCATTAAACACCTTCACTCACATACCCCAACTAAAGGGAGTAGCATAAAAGAAAGAATTGCAATCTCATCCAACTGCACATCCTCTATTGTTACATCCAAATATGCATTTTATATTTTTGTGGTGAAACTGTTTTAACGGCTTATTATTTGATCAATTCCTTATCAATTTAATTCCTCAAAGGTCCCTTATATCATGCTCCTATGTGTGTATTTTTTTTGTTCATGACCTTTCTCCTGGTCAAGAAAAGTTTCTTGCACATGCTATTAAATGTGTATTTCTTAGATATTCTAGGTTACAAAATGGATGTCATTGTTAATCTCCTATACTGACCATTGGTATACATGTTGATGTCACTTTCTTTGAAGATACATTATATTCCAAATTTTCACTCGAACCTAGTGTGATTAATAAGGTTTTACCCACACCTTATTTTGGTCCAGCTCTATCTCCCTTGCATGTAGCATCATAATAATCACTAGTTAACCCATTTCAAGAAGCTTGTCTATATCCACATCAACACCCTTCTATTAACTATCAATGCTAACCAAAGGTGGGCATACCAGAGCCTGAGGTACAAAAGGATCCTAGTGAGTCAAGTACTACTCCAACAAACCTGTCAAAGTATGCTGATGATCTCTCTGTTGCTTTTAGAAACAAGAAATTCTCACCCAACTTATAATTTCTTTATCATTTCTTTCCATCATGATACGTTTCTGTTTCTTATCTGTCTTCTATTCTTCTTCCTAATGATTGAGACACTTTCTCATTCAAGATGGATGCAAGCCATGATTAATGAGATTATTGCTTTTCAGCACGGTGGACTTAGTTTCCCTTTCACAAGGGGAACACGTTTAGGTTGTTCATGGGTAAATTGAATATCTTTAATATCATCTTGTTGCTAAAAGATACACCAAGAGATATAGCAAGACGGTCAAAATAGAAAGGTACCATAACATTAAGGCCCAAGTGGTTTTACTTTAATCCCTTTAGGTAAGAGGCATTGAAAAGCTCACGCTTCACTCAAATATAGGATTAAAAATATATTGTGTTTTTTGTATTAATTCTAATTCTTATGAAAATGGATGGAATAAAACATTTAAGGCGTATATTCTATTATATGCAGACTGCTTGTGGGAGATATGTAAAACAAAGTATGCTGCTAATAAACCAAAAAGAAAAACTAAAACTGCAGCAAAGCTAATAAGACAAATCAATGCAGCGTGTAGTATGAAAAATGAAAATAGAGAATGCCATCTAGAAAACATTAACAATCAAGTGGCAAAGCTTTGCAATTTTAAAACAGGGAATCGAAAAACAGTAAGATTGGAACTGAAAATTCCTAAATAGGTATAACAAAGAGAAAAGTAAATAAAAAAAGTTTAATTGTTTAAAACAATAAAGAATAAGAAAAAAAAATCAAGGACAGATTGAAAACAAATTAACACAGTGGAGATCAAAAGATATATTGAACAGCAAAGTTCTTAAGAATGTAATATGAACTAATCAAATGAAGTTATAATAAGCAGCGTACCTAAACAGTGGAGATATTCCAAACCAATGACAACCTCTGCTGCATAGAATCTGGATTTGTGATTAATAAAGTTAACAAAATATATAACGGTCTGCATTATAAATATATAAATATGTGCGTACATTACTTTTATTTGGTCCAGTTATAATATGTTCAGTTTCATGCACGTAGTTAGTAGTCAATCCCATTTGTTATAGAATAGTTGTTTGCTTAATATGCGTTATTGGGCAGCACCTATCTTCCAGTGGACTTCATTTCTCAGTATAAATAGAGATAAAGAGACCAGCTATATTGAGCTAGTCATTCCTATTCTTGATGATATACAATATGAGCTGGTATGAGAATTTTACCAGCCACATATTTTGCTAGCCACTTGGTTATAGAAGCTCTAATAGCACGTTAGAAATAATAATGAATTAGGTCTAACTCAATCCTAAAAGTTAACGCAATGGGGGAGGATTGCCTATATTTATAAGGAATATTTTGGTCATATACTTGGCCAATGTAAGACATATATAGCTTGGTTAAGTTCGTAGTCAATCTGATGGTTTCAAACAATAAAAAAGATGAATAATACTGATTTGTATTGATATCAATTATCAAAGGCTACTATCACTTGATTACAAGGACAATGAAGAAATAATCTAACAGAATGACTATCATCCCAAGCTAAATGGCCCCCCTAACCAGAGATTTCCTCTGCGGGATCCTTCTCTCTCTTTCAACAGAATTCTTCCTCCTTTTCTTCACCTTTCTCCTTATTCCTTATATAACTAACTCATGCCAATGTTACATCTCTCTCTAGAAACAGAATTATCTAGACATCAATTTGTTTTGATATGAGATGATAGATTTCAACTCTAGCAACTAAATGATGATTTCATGCATATTATACCAAACATCTAGCATAAAATTGCAGATAGGAATCATCTACATCATAAACATTGAAAACTTCAAGTGATCAAATGGCCAGAGACAGTTAGTAGAGAAAAATGGGAAACCCAAAGTACCTTGCTGATTCTTCTCTGAAAATCTTCATCGGTTGCTTGTCAAGCAATGCAAACAACTCTCCCCCATGGCAGAAGTCAGTAATCAAACATACATGTGTAGAAGTCTGTTGAGACAAAGAAACTATTAGAACAATTGGCTACAGCCAACTCAGTTGGGAGCCCTGGTCTTTAAAATTTTGGAGTTATATTCATGTGGGAGGTTCAATCCTTCATTAGGCCACCTTTCTTCTTTTTCTACCTAAGAGCTTAAACCTCCAATTAACACACAGTGGAAAAAAAAAGAAAAAAAAGGCTAACAATTATCCTTCAAAACACTCTCCCCAAGTTATTATGGTAGGAAAAGTCAATGCCAAGTAAATAAGATTGGATGAAAAAGACAGGAAGAAAGTACATGAATAAAAAAGAAATTTATGAAAAATAGTCTCTAAATAATCATAAGTTGGTTGTATTGTACATCATAATGACCCCTACAGTGCTATAAATTTTACATTTTGCAGACAACTCGACACTAGTCCTTTAAGACTTCCCTTTATCACATACTTTGCTTAATTTACTTTGTAGTATTTTGGTTGGTAATAATTTTTAGCATCTTATCAATTTATACCATGGTAGCTTAGAGAGTAACACTGGAAAGAGTCATATTTAGATATTAAAAAGGTGAGAGTCTTCTAGATGGATTTTACTTGCCAATCAAGTTTTGCTATAACTCCAATAGGCCTGGAATAAATAAAAAGATTATACAACTCTTTTCATCAATAACTAATTGTCCAAAAGATTCTTTCCCATTTCTACTGGACCTTGGATTACTGCAAAATGAATTATACTATAGGTTGCCAGCTAGAACAATATCTAGATCAAACTTTACACTTGTCTCTCAGTTCAACATCCAGACATAGATGTGTGTTGTATTTACCTGAAATGAGGTGTATAGTGTTGGAAGAAAAGGATGATCCAATAATGATATAATCTCTCTCTCAATGCAGGATCTGTGGACCTGCAGCAGTAGTCACAGAAATACATTCCATCTAAATATATTGACTAAGATAAATTAACTTTTCTTTCATGCACCCAAAAAGAAAGAAAGGGGGTATTAGATTGTGCACAAATTTCAACACACGAGCCAAAAATAATATCATCTACTTATATTCAAAAAACTGAGGTTCGTGGTTAAGTGTTTTTCTTTTCAGCTTATGTTGACAATTAAGAATATATTAGAGCCATGTGTTTTGAGAAACACTAGTTCATCTTCCAAGTCTCAACATCCACTATTGTGCTCTACATTTGTGGTTTTTCCTTTCAATACTCTTAGCATCTTGATATGCACATAAATTTTCTCAAGCCAATTTCTTCATTCATATTTTAATATTGAAAACTAACAAATAAACCACACTGTAATGCATTCAATATCTTCCTAATTCATGGAAGGCATGTATATTGTTCAAATTATAGGGTTTAGAGATAAGATGAGGAGAACATGTAAAGGAAACACTAAATAGTAGGTTATTGCTTTATATTGTCCGTTGAAAATACAAAGTATTACACCTATTTATGCTAGGAATTAGATCAAGTACCTAGTAATAAACAAACCCATAGATTCATAGCAATGGCATGATTCATAATTTATTCCCAATGTTATAACAAACAATCCCAATTGGTCATAAATATTTAGAAATTATAATGATTTTACTTCACTTAGATGAATAGCTAAGAAAAAAAATGAAAGAGAAAAATAAAAAGCATGTATTTCCAGAGAATGTAAAAATAAAGTTAATTTTAATTTTAATAGTTGATGGGAAGTGCGCATAAAATCTTTAAGAAGAAACAAGTGACTCTTACATATCCAGACCTTATTACGATTTAACATTACAGTCTTTTCCATTGCCTTCATTGCATAAAGTTCATCCGTACCTTTGAGTTCCACCAAATGAACACTGTAGCACAAAACAGAATGATGCCTTGATAAAATAGCAGAGCATGTTTTATTCTATGATACTGAAAATTTTAAGCCATAAGACGACAAAGGGACATACAAACTGGTGCCTTGAGGAGGGTGCATTCTTATGTGATTAAGATTATATTGATTCCGCAGTGAAGAGGATGAATGTCTGATAGTGGATGTATTAAAGGCTGAACATTATAAACAGAATGTTCAGGCAGGATGTTTTGACTGTGATGGTGACTTACACTGAGTGTAGAAGCTTTTCAAACATGAAAGTGTTGAGTTTAACAAAACTACTAGTTTAGGCGTCCAAGATTAAAGGGCACAAAGAAAGATTACTTCAGGCTGGTTAAGGGCAAAATTTGATCAGCAAATTGTACATGAAGAGTGTCTTGAGTTTGATGAAAAAATTACAAGGATTGAGTAAAGGAGCTTTTTCAACAGAAAATTGTAGATGGGAATGATACATCAAGTTTAGGCTGCCAAGATCAAACGGTCAAGAATCATCTCCTACAAGGGGTCAGTCTACCAACGATGGTTCTGAAATAGAAATTATGCTTTTTCTGATAACCGGAAAGGCGAAACCATTTAGCCAAAGTGTGAAGCCAATGGACAAAAGATATTTCTATTTTTACACAACTTCAGTACAGTTTCTTAAGTATGATTGATGTTATTCTCTAATGAAAAATTGAAGTTTTAACACGATAATTTGTGTTTACATTTAATACAGACTTCAGTGATATATATTTACATATATTGTTGAGATAAAACTCCAATTAAAGAATAACACTAACTATTACTAAGAAACAATATTTAAGTTTTGTCCTTTTTATCACTCCTTTAGGTAAAGCAAGTATTTTATGCAAGTTAATCACTAAAGCCAACAAACTCAATACTCACCTGCCAGTATCACCACAACCCAAAGGCCTTATAGGCGAAAAATGTTGCAGGCCAATTTTTTCACCTCTAGCAGCAATCTGAAGGAGTCAAAGAAACAAAATTAATGAAAATAACAAGACGATATTTTCAAACGAAACCAACACAAACCGGCTTATAAACAATCATACATATTCAAATTTAAAATCGTGATAATCACGTCTCCTAACCGGGTAAAATCCCTAATTACTGAAAAAAGCAATGGAACACATCTAAGTTGCATGGATACAGTACTGTACCGGATACCGGTATGGAATATGTGATCTTGTAAAAATTTAGAATACTGGTACGTTAATGTAATTTCAAAAATATTTTTTTTTAATTATATAAACCTCAGTAAATTGTATAAATGATAAATAAAAAATTAAAAAAAAATCGAACAGTTATCACTTGAACTATAACTTCAAGAATAAAAATCGTAACACCTAAAGCATAATTATAATAACACGAGTGCCCAACATGTTCCGTACATGGCACAAATTTTGGAGTACCCATGTTTGAGAGCAAGACATCAAGACTTATGGCCTCAGTTATCCATGCTTTCAGAAAGTTGCGCATTCTTGACATCTTACTAGATTATTACATTTCTAATCTATAACATCTATAATTAATATATATATATATGATAAATTTTGTATGAGTTTTATTATAAAAAAATAAATGTAACAAAATATAAAACAGATTCTTCGTTTTGGTTTCCACTTTCTAAAAGCAATTATATGATGTTCTTACATATTTAGCTTTTTTATTTTATTTTTCCTTAGAGGGCAAGAGCATCTATTTTCTTACTAGTACTAGTTGAAGAATAAAAATATCTAAAAATGGGAGAGAAAACAAGAATTTTCTTATTGTTCTATTGTTACACTGACGGTTTGAGTAAAAGGAGAATATGGCATAGTACTGAAACCGATGAACACAATAGGGTAGGCATATACTTAGGTTATTACTAAAAAGAAAATAGAGATTATAAAACAGGGCTCTCAATATATTTGAGGTTTAAAAGTGAATTTTAAAATTTGACTTTTTTAAATATGAGATTATGACAAAAAAAATCAACAATCACTTAAAAAGAAAAAAAAAACTTTCAATAAAAAAATTACAATATTAAAATCGAACTCAATTTTTATAATGCTAGATTTTGATAATAACTAATAAATCAAAATTAATATCGATACAACTAATTCATTAAATTCTATAAATAAAAAAAAATATTTTGAAGAATTAAAATTAGGACTTTGACAACCCCAAGCGTGTGATTCAGCAGTAGGGGTTGATCCACGCTTAAGCAAGGTCAGGGGTTCGAATCCTGCCTTGTGTATGCAGCCGCGTTAAATCTTGGGGCCAGCTATCCCACCCTTTGAGGTGCCTCCAACGTAGCGAGGAGATTAGTCACTGCTGTCGGCGGTGGATACTCCAGGGATGAACCAAAAAAAAATTAGGACTTTGACAAGCTTATGCTCGGCCGGCCCTATTATCAAACCATAACTTCTGAAATCAGATATTGGATTTTGAATTGACTTGTGTATGAAGAATTTTTCTTCAATGAAAAGCATAGATAAGGTGGGTCATTTCTTTCAAGAAGTTCCCAATGAAAAGCATTAGGCTTGGCAGTAATGGCTTCTACGAAGACTATATAGACAATAATTACATTGAGACTTGTTAGCATGGTGGTTTGGTTAAACAGATTGCCCAATGCATCTAACCCATTTTCCTGGCTCTACACCAAACCAAGTCCTTCATAATTTTCTCAATCCTTAGAGAAACTCTCCCGCAAAGTTGAAATAGTGATAGATAGTACATTTTAAAGAATAAGTAGGCCACAGAAGAAAGGGAGGAATAGCAACATTCCTATTAGCTTTTAGATATCATATGATTCGAAGAGCCCAAAAAGAATTTCCAGGAAAATTACCGCGCAAATTAAGGAACTTCCAAGTAAGCATATTGCAAGAAATCTCAATGTCTTACAGAAGAGCAAGACTAAAATTTTAAAGAAGATAATTATGCAGATAGTAGAGTCAATCAAATATCTTTTGCATTTATGTAAAATTTACATTAAAAATGTTTAGCGGTATAAACGAGTATGGTAACTCACGAATGAATTAGATCGATCTTTTTTGTGTCTTGGTTTCACTCGACTCAATCCGACCTATGTACATTAATATATAGGTCCGATTATGAGTTTTGTGTTTTTGACTTGTGACATGATCCGACATGATCATATAATAATAATAATAATAATAACAACAATTTAGTGCAATCAATTGTTTGTTATACATTTCACTTTTACTCTTGTTTAGTAATGAATTTTCTGCTTTTGAGTTAATAACATTGTAATAATACAACATATTTATTTTAAATTTTATTTTGTACTAATGTTGGTTGTTTAATATGATAACAATGTAATAAATCAACAAATTTATTTTAAAATTTAGTTTGTATCATTTTTTGTTTTATGAGTTAATAACATTACATTTACATCAAAATATCAAATAATTTACATCTATTATGAAATAATTAAAATTTTATAAAAAATAATAAATTTAATTATGTTAACTAAATTGAACAAGTTTAATCCAACTCATCAGTGATTGAGTTGGATCGGAGTTAGATTTCAAAAAAAATAATTACAAATTTAATTCAATCTAACTCGTTAAATTTTGATATGGTCGAATAATAGATTTATTAAATCCAATTCGACTGAATCCACTTATACTCCTAAATAAGTTTTACCAGAGACTACTTTTATAACTAGTTTCATGACAAAGGAACTTAAATACATAAATTAGTACCTTTTGTATTGCTATCCAAGAAGTATTGTTCTTTTTGTGAGGTCGTGGAAACACAGTTTGGGAATGAATTGCCCACAAATCTTCTGGTCTCTGCAACATAACATAACAAATTCATAAGATATCAACAAGCATAACTGACCAAAAAATCACCATGCCTCTATTCTTCATATTTCAAAACTATGAAAAACAAAATAATGCTTTTAAAGGAAATCTGAAAAATATACACATAAGTAGGGTGTTGCTAACCCAAAAAAGAATACCTTACCAAGTTGGCATCTGGAAGTTCTCGGACAGCTTCATCAACATTTTCTGCAGTGGCTTTCACCTGATATTAGAGGCAAATCACGAAGATAATTAAGTAAGGAAATTTACAAATAAGAAGAACTTATTGTATATTAAGATTCGAAGACAAATCTCATAGTGAACAAGATAGTATATTGAAATCAGATATGCTACCAATTTACCATCAAACAAATAAAGCAATTTTTGTTTTCTTATGTCTCCCTCGATACTAATCTAACAAAGTATTTGCTTGAACATTTTATAGAAATTCTTAGATAATAAATGGATGAAAGAGTATATAATAAATAGTTAGTAGATGTGAGAGAAATGGAAAGTTAAATAATTTGAACAACCGAGCTAAAACTAGCATTCTCCTTCTACTATGTTAATTTCTAGGTTCTAGGTGATTTCTACTTTAGTACTGCCGAATAAGTACTGCCAAATAAAACTCAACTAATAAGCAGGCATTTCCTACCAAATACTATAGTAAAATAAGGAATCATAATAGTTAAACAGTGAGAAAAAAGAAAGACAACGTATAATTCACAAATATAGATTTATGAAGAAGTTATGCTAATCATTCAAACCAAAGAACAAGTACACCGCAGCTGAAATTTCAATAGGTTTGACACATTATGTACATTGTCTTCCATAATACATAAACTGAAATTTTTGCTATTGAATAATGGTTATGCTAAATACGTGTTGAAACTATTAAAGAAAACACAACATCTTAATTGCGAAAGTTTCTAGTAACTGATGTTAACAAGTATAATTTGAATATTCTTAGTTTTCCCCTGAAATAAAATGGTCAGGAACATATCACAATGTAAAATATATAAACAAAGCATCAAATTATCTTGAACCAGTAAGTAAAAGGCTAAGACTGAAGACAACACTCACCAACTTAGCACTTTGTTGCTCAGTTGTCTCAGACAGGCGGTTTTTTAAGGGTTCTACATGATCACTTCCATCTAGTTGAACTCCAATGAAGTATTGAAGTTCACCCTATACACAAATCATTGAAAATTAGATTAGAAACTAGAAGGGGGGAGTAAATGTATGTTTAATAGATATTGAATGTCCATGAGTCAAACTAATTGTTTACTAGCATAATAGTGTCACAATCACCTTTTGGTCACGCATAGGTTGCAAGTGAAACAAATTCCAGAACTTCTTTCCTACATATTATAGATTAGAAAAGTACAACTTGTAAATAATAAAATAAAACAAAAAGGCCATTAGATTCAAAATACCAAATCATATCAAATCAGTATCTACATCAGTCAATTTCCACTCAACTTTCAAAGTGTATCTTTAAATAAATAAAAGTTCAACAAAGAAAACTAGGAGGAAGGATAAGTCGTGCTTCAACGAAGAGAGAGAGAGAGAAGGTCACAAGTATAGATATAATTTGAACAGATATTTACCACTCTTAGTATAGTTGATCAACTGAACAGTGATTTCTCTCTGTTCTCTGATAGCATCCCTTATCCTAGCAACAGTTGTTTGATCTGTTTCTGGTCCTTGAAGAAACCTATACAAGGATGAAATGAACTACAATGTCACAGACCTTGGAAACAAGCTTGCATTAATTTGATATCAATTCAAAAATGTCAGAAACATGACACGATATCCTAACCATATATGATTAACTATTCATTTATCTTGCTTACTAACGGAAAATCAGGGAGGTGATAAAAAAAGAGAGTAAAAACTGAAAATGCTTAATTTTAAGACTATAATCTATTTTATAATAAATGGCCATTATAAGACTAACGACGAGAGTAAATAAAAAATTTTGTTCTCCAAACATTCAAGCATTGTTGCTCTGCTCCTCAAAAGATTCTAGGCGTGACTTTATTCTGACAAAATGCAGTATCATAAAATTGGTCCTCTGACAAACGAAGAGAAATGATTAAATTGAAGGCCTAATTTAGGGACTAGTTTTATGTTGTATGATAGATGTTAGAATATGTGAAAATATGTTATAATATCTTAGATTACCCTTCTTATTTTTCTCATCATCCCTTAGTAATGATTACCATATTTCCTTATCTTGTCATTATGATAAGGATTAGTGCTCTAGGTTTGGCGAACATACCAAACACATGTACTCTTTACTTGCTTATGTGTTCTCAAGACAAAACTTTACTGCTCAAGCTATGTTGACACTATTCATCAATACATCGTAGGATTTATTATGACATGGACTTTTTTACTCATGGACCTAAATTTTCATTAAAGATTATAATCTGAAAATAAGAATGAGGATAATGTATGGCATGAATGTTGTTAGCCCATAAAAAAGCTATCTTATGGCATGTTAGTTGAACCAGATTCCTTCTGGGTTACAAACTTTGGGACTTCATATGCTTGCTTGCTTTTGGCACTCTGAAGAAACTAATCTTTTTTTTTCCCATTCCCTATGTATAAATTTCTAGGACTAAACTGATGATGTATTCATATTTTAAAGACAAAAGTATTACTTAAAAAATAACCATCCACTGAGGTAGAGGTGATTGGCAAAATCTCAACATTTACGGCATACACATTATTTTTTACTTCCATGGTTTATAAAATTTCATGTCATGCATTTTGTCTATAACTATGTTTCCAAGTAGTTTTAAATGATAGAATAAAAACTTTCAAAATGATAGGGGACTCTACACAATCAAGGAAAAGCTTAAACTAATATAGTTGCCAAGCAAAAGTGTGATAGTGAAATGACAACTTAAGCTATTAAAGTTGACAGAAATCCATCATAGGATTGTTTCTAAAAGTGAAGTGAACACAAGAAAAATTAAAATTTAGTATGTGAAGATAGTAAAATTTATACCGACAATTTCGTCCCAAAATTTCTTCTCGTGTATATTCTGTAAGTTCAAGAAAGCTATCAGATGCAAATATCTGCACAGAAAGCAACAAAAGTTACTTAAGCTATTATCAGCAATCACGCCAAATTTCATATTCTACACACATATGACACGTCTTTTTGCGTGTGTTCCAATGGCTATTACCATTTCCAACTGGTACTATACGATATGAGCAGCAGTTTTTTATATGCTAGATACTTTGTTTGCATAATTTTAATTTTAAAAATAGTTTAAAATATATAAGATTCACTAAATGATGAACATACACAAACCATTTAAAGGAAGAAAGGGGGAAATGTTGAAAAGGATATAGAAAATTATGGGCATGTTTGGTTTCATTAAAAAAAACTTATAACCATAAGGTTAAACTATTCACTTGATATAATTGTTCCCATTTTATGTTTTCGTCCCTATATGAAAAAATTGTGTTTCAGCCCCTATATATGCATAAAAGTTTAGTTTTGGTCCTTGACCCGAGAAAACTTAATGGCAATATAAAACCACTATAAAAAAATTTTCTAACAGTGATAAATCACAGCAAAAAAAATTGTAGAGAGTAAAGCATAGAGTTTTCTTATAGTGACTAAAACTTGAAATGTAAACAATTATAGGGACCAAGTATTAATTTAACAAAACCACAAATAGAAAGAAACACAAATGTAAACATTTGACATTAAAAACTTAGCATGTGCTTTGCACATAGGCATTTTATAACATGATAGCTTTTCATTAAAATAGGAATTTTGATTCGAAAGAACTAGCATATGCTCTTATTTATGAAGAAAAATCAAATAGCTGCTTGGCTGTCGATCACTAACCACGGCATAACAGAATTAAGTCTCAAGATTAATAGGCTTTTCTCAATAAGAATATTATAATAGATTATCAAATTTTCCATTATGATACAAAAATACAAAATTTCCCTCAATTAAAAGGGGGATAAATAGTGTGTCGTTCATCACTGGGTGAAGAATTTGATAAAATTTGCCAAGTGTTGTAGACAATTTTATTTGAGGAGAAGAATATAGGCAAAGAATGAAATGTCTTTCGAAGGAAGTCAATTTTCTTTTAAAAGGAACACAAATAAATATAAGAAAAAGAATATTTTTTTCAAGAAATTTTCCTTGTATATATGTATTCTTTTATAATATTGACGTAA